TCCTAATGAAGGGCCACAAGAAGAATCATAACTAACAGGCAAAAGAGAATCAGGGCTGTGAATGCTATCAATTCTCCCTTGACCATGAAAATTTATTGCTGCCATAGTTTCTGCTAATAGCAAGACTGTTGGCAGGCAATCATTATATAACTCTCACTGTACTCATCTACACCGGAATTGTTCCTCAGTGGCTCCTTCCTGCGTAGAAAGGGAATTGCATCCCACCTGCCCACACAATGCCTGTTTTTAGCCTCTGCTATCAGTCCCACGCTTCCAGAAGCATTAAAACATGAGTGGTTTATTTTTCAGAACTATATTTATCACCTAGGAGAAGACACAAATCTACACCACAACTCAACGTGTGACAATGCAGCAAGAGCCTCAGGACGCCTTTCCCGAGCGCCTGATTAACCAGGAACTCACGTCAAAACATCATCAGGTTTTCTCTGCTGGAGCCTTTTTCCCAAGCCAAATCCAAAGAAGCACACAGCAAACATGGGTGTCACCCCGATGATAGGAGCTGCCATTCCTCTATACAAGCCTTGGACTCCCTGCAAGAAACATTATCACAGGCATTACTTGGTTTGGCATAAACTTTGCACACATTTCGACTTGTTGAGAAGAGAAAGGCAACAATCCAGGACAGGATCCACCTAACAGTCTAACTGATCAGAAGAACACAGGGGTTTATTGCTCATTTGCAGTTATACACGTTTAGCTGAGGCTCAGGGACTGCTGCAGAGGAAAGCTATCCCTCCTGGGAAACACTGGCAGCACTGACACCCTTCTAGAGCAGTGCTCATCGCCTGCACACACATCTCAAGAATGAGGAAGTTAAAAGCCCCTGAATAAGAGCCTCAATAGATTATGTCAAGAGAGAACACTCTCAGCTGCACACAGAAATGCACCTGTGTTTTATTGGTAACTTGTCAAATGCAGTGGTGTAAAGTCCTGACACTGAACCTGAGAACACTGAAATGAATTCACTCTTGAACTAAAGGAAGAGCCAGGGAGAGCAACTGGAATTCCTTCACTCTCCACATGAATTCACTTTGGAACAGAGTCAAGAGCAAATTATTTTTTGTTTCCTACCCTAAATCCAAACTTTTTCCTCACACATTCCTGATGTTTCCTTTCATAGATTACACACATGAAAAAGTTCTAATGCAGACCCCAGCAGCTGTATTTATTTCACTTCTCTTGCCTTTAAATTGAACTTTGCCCAATAAAAAGGAGAGTTATCTTCCTAGACAAAGGGCTATACACATAAATTAAATATTTGCTGGTCTCTGCACCCCTTTTTCCCCCTGTCCCAATAAACCAGTGCATCCAGTACATGCTGAAGTCTTACAGGCACAACTGGCTCTGCCACGAAATTGCACCTGGCTGAGAGATCAGCCACTGCTGCTGAAGCTCCCCTTGGGCAGAGAGGTTTGGTAGTTCTCCTCGCAGAAATGGATGAGTACGGAGTAGGAGTAGAGAAGCAGCAGTGCTTTTGAACTCCCCATCACAAGGCTGTTATTATGGCTCAGCTCTGACGTCCGTGCTGCAGCAGGGGTGTTAAAAACTGCCAGGGATTCAGAGCTGGCACAGCACTCCACTCCTTTGTGGGAGAGACCAGGGAAACAAGATTTGCTTTGGTTATATAACAACCTGTTAATACCACAATGGAAGGAGATTTCAGATTTTGAGGCAGATCTTTCATTCAACAGGGAGTTACCTAACGAGATCCAGCAGTTAGAAATGAGATTCAGGCAAGCAGATAAACAGCTGGGCTTCACAGCCATTATTTCCAAATGGTAAATAGCTGCTGAGAAAACTCAAAAAGCAGAAAATTGGGCTCTCTGTCAACTAAAGACTTTAAATCAAAGCTGTGTGCCTTTCTAAAAACAAAACAGACTGGCTCAACAACATGATCATGATGATTCAGGAGTAAAAACCACTGTCCACCTTCTAGAGAAGGTTGAATAACCACTATAATTGACACTCTGCTCTCAAAAAAAATCTATTAATTAAAGATCCTCTGCCTTCTCATAGGTGGCATAACACCTTATAGAAGGAAGTAAAAGTACTGTGTGCATGAAGAAAAGTCATTACCCATTTTAGATTTCCAGAGATGACTCCAAATACCTGCAAAATCCCAAGGCCAAGAAACAACTGCCAACATTCACTCCAGTTTAACTTCAGACATTAAATCATGCTATTTTGAACCCAAAACCTTTCTCAGCAAAACAAAGATACATGTACCAGGAGCACGTGTATGCTAAGTACTCCCCAGACTTTGTAATCTACTTTAAAATGTTAATTAGAATCAATTTAACTGACAACCCAGGAATTGTAGGGCTTCTCTGTAGGATTCTGTTCCTACAATGTACAGAAACAACTGATATATCTGGTAGGTGTCACAGTACCTCTCCAACAAGAGTCTTTCTGAAGCAGTCAAAGGTTCCAGAATAGAGTGGGGGCTGGCCAGGCTGTGGCTTAGGCTGGGTTTGCAGTCTGACCTAGTAAGAGGGAGAGGAAAACATTATTTTATTAAATATTACAATCTAAACTTTAATTGACAGAACACCTCTGGCTATTATGGAGTATGTTTTGTGACCGGACCTGAAGATAAGGATAGAAACATTGACATTATTTTAGCCCTTTGCAGAAGAGAAGAGACTGAATTTTAATGTAATAAGTAGTTAATGTATTTAACTAATTAATTGCTGGGATGACGTCCAGATGAGGACCCCAGCTCCCTGCACCCCACAGGGCCACTCCTGGCCTCGCCCTGGCGCGGGTTCCCGCCGCGGGACGAGGCTGACGGGTGCACCCCACTTCTCAGCTCCTTCCAGCACCGGGAACACCGACGCTCTTTTCCCGGTTTTTCACTAAAACCGGGACTGCGAGACCGCCGCGCCGCCAGGGGGCGCCGTACGGCACCACAGAGGCCAGCGCAGCCTCCCCGCGGCGCAGTGCCTGCCGGGAGCTGTAGTTCTGCCACAGCGCCCACCGGGACCCGCGCCGCTCCCGCGCAGTTTCTGCCGGGAGCTGTAGTCCACCCTCCGGTGCCCCGACCGCACCGAGCACCGGCAGCCCCCTGGTTCCCGGGCGCTCCGCACCACCTTACCTTGATGGTGTCCAGCGGGTGCCCCACGAACACCAGGCAGACGCCCCCGAAACCGCCAGCGAAGAAGTTCTTCAAGGGGCTGATGGGCTGCGGCTGCTTGGCCATGGCGGCGGCGGAGGGTGAGGAGCGGGACCGGGAGCGGGACCGGGGCGCTGCGTCCCTGCCGAGCCAATGCCGCCCCCTCCGCGCCGCGACCTTTAGCCCAGTGCGGGGCACGCCGGGAAGCGGGCGCGGGGCGGGCCGGGACGCGGCGGAGCGAGGGGCCGCTCCCNAAGGAGCCCGGGGCGCCGCTCTCGCCGCCTGCCCGGTAAGTGCGGGGCCCGGCCGCGCCGGGCTGCGGCGGGCCCGGCGGGAGGGAGGGGTGCGGGGCCGCTTATCCCTGCCCGGTGCTGAGCTCGGCGCTCCGCCCCGGCAGCAGCCGCAGCCCGGAGCTCTGGGGCCCCTCCTCGCCCCGCACGGGCTCTCTCCCGCCGGGCTCCTGCGCTGCCCTCGCACGGGTTGCGGCGCTCCGGGGGCTGGCCGCGCCGGCATTGCCAAGGAATGGAGCCCGGGCGGTTTAAACGCGCCGGGCACCGCGCTGCCCGAGCCCGGGGTGCCGTGGGGTACGAAGGTGTCCGCAAAAGAACTTGTGAGAAGTGGCGGTAGGGTAGAAAGGGCAGGAGAGGAATGGATAAGTTGGCAAAGACAAGGCAGCCGTGATAGCGTGAACCAAGAGTGGGAAGAGGAAGGAAAGCGGGGATGTTCCTGGGGAAGTGAGATACGGCTCAAGGAGGTCCCTGTGGAGTCATCTGTGATGAAAAGGATCGGGCATCTTCTGCTTTCTCAGTCTTGGATGAAAAAATTCCCACCTAAAAAACTGGAGAAGGAACAGCGAGGTGTGCAGTGCATACGTGAGGAGGCACTTGGGGATGACCCATGAATTATGGGTTTGGGTGACACAGATGAAGATGCAGTCAGCACTGACAGCCAGCATGGAGCTGAGGCTGTGGATGGTTTCAGGGAAAAGGGAGAGTGCTAGCCTGTCTAAAGGTTACATGGATAAGGAGTCCAGGAGGCAGACTTAAGTTGCACTTTCTCCATTTGAGATAAATAAAGAGGTGAAAGAAGAAAAATCATATGAAAAAGTGGAGGAGCATTCTCCAATTGGAGAAATCTCCACCAAAAGAGTTATTAGAGGAATCCCACAAGGGTAGGGATAAGAAAAGTGATGTAGTTGGACAAGGAATGAGGTGGGATCACATCATGAGGTAGCACGGTGGAAGGCATTTTGTTTCAAAAGACCTTGTGAAGAATTGTGTTGCAAAGCAGGAGTCAGGGAAAGGGCACTGATAGGCAGCACAGGGTAGGGGTGGGTGTGTTTAGGAGTTCCTGTGGGAGACTGGGGCGAGAGAGGTGATTAAATTGTATCAGTGTTAGTGGAGATACAGGAGTATCCTGGATTAAGGTGGTGAAGGAGGAGATCATCCTCCTTTGGATTGGAAAGTGATCTAAGTATGGTTTAAAAATTTTTAATTTGGTCTTGGGAGTTATGGTCATTATTTAATCTAAATAAACCTGGCTTTTTGACCCTGTCTTTTGAGCTTAACATCTTTGTTGTGTTAAAAATTAGTGCTATCAAGTAGTAGCTCTGTCTTGTCTTTGTGTTCAGAGAGTTTGATTTGGGCGTTGGGCTGAGCATAGGTCAGGTGAGTTTTGTTCCTGGTTTGGAGTGGCTCCTTTGCTTTGTCCACAGAGCATGTGCCTTGTGCTTCCTTTCCCTTCCCTTGTGTCGGTGTGGTGTCCAGCTGTGCTGGGAGTGAGCTCTTTCCTACAGTGTTGGGACACAGAAGTCACCCAGTCCTGCTTTCTGCTTGCTAAATCCATGTGTCCATTTCCTGTGCTCTGTTGGCTCACAGAACTGTGCTAGTGGCACTGAGAGACGTCTCTGCTCTCCTCTGAGCCCCTCCCCAGGGACTGGAGTGTGACTGGGAGGCACTGGGCAGGCCCCCTGTTCTACCTGGATACCTGCAAACATCTCAGTGCTTGGATGTGACTTGCCACGTGTTGGAACAGCAGAGGATCCAGTGTTTTCGTGGGGTTTTTTCTCTCTCTGGAGTGTGGAATGATCTGAGTGAGTTTGAGAAGTTCCCTGGCCTGTGAACTTGCTCAGGCTTTGCGGTGGCTGAACAAAGTTGTTGCATCTGGGCTGCTGATGGTTCTCACTGGGGTTAGGGGCTCAAATAAGTAATTCATTTAACATAAGTTTTAGCAGGTAAAGATCCATTACCTCTTTTATGCAAGAGCTCAGTGTCAGTGCAGACTAAGGCCAGACTCTGAGCAGGGTAGAGGGAGGGACGAGGGTTTGCCTTGTGTCTGCCAAATCAGATTTCACATCTGTCTCCCTCCAGTGTGGAGAGAATGTGCCTGTTCCTCTGAAGTCCTGTGGAAAGCAGTGCTATAAATTGTCTGTGTGCTGCAATGTGCTGTGGATAGCAAGGAATCAAGAGGCAAATTAAAGGAATGAAGACCAGAATTCAGGAGGTAATTTAATTAGGTACTAGTCTTCAGCCTCTCTGGAGGTTTGTATCTCCTGAAATCACTGAAGCCCCTCAAATTAATTGTACATCACATCTCTTCCTGGTTATTCTCTGCTGCCTGGTCAAGTGACTGGAAACAGAAAAAAAAAAAAAGAGTTGAGGAAAAATAATGAAAATTTGTGGTTGAGGTTTTCTGTACTCTAAAGTCAGGATTATCAAAGCTTGATTATGGTTCCCCCAGCAGCTACAAATTGCAATAGTGAGGGAATATATTTGAGTGGCAGAGCTGGCAACATAGTACTAATTCTAGTAATACAGAATGAGAATGTATTTAAGGAACCAAATACATGCTGCTTGTGGAAAATAGAGCTTTGATTTTAATATATGTTTTTATATGTAAAATACGGTTACAGCATTGTTTTAATTCTTCTGTATTTAATATATTCTCTCTAAACAAAATAATTTGGTTAAATGGAAATTTACAACTAAATATGAGATGACCATAATTCAAGGTTGATTCATGCTTTACTGCTGAATCTTTTAGAGCTCAAATTCCCATGGTTCAGTTACACAAGCAGAAGATTTGTAGTTCAGATAAGTATCAGATGTGTGAATTTTCCAAAACAAGTGAGAAGCTTAAAAAAAAAAAGTTAGCTGCTCTGATTCTTCTTCAATAACAGCTCTCAACACCTGAGCATAAATTTGTACATTCAAAAGGTAAGAAGTATAAATAATTTTATTTCCCCCTTCAGATATAAGGTCCAAGCCACATCACATCCAGTAGAACCAATTTAAAGGGATGAGCTAGCTTCACAGTTTCTTTTGAGATGATATTTGAGACTGTTAAATTGTGTGCATGTGAGAGATCTGTTTACTGGTCGTATTTTCCCAAGTCTCACTTTATGTCTGTGGTTTTGAAGCAATATGGATTTGTACAGAATATCACAGGTTGTACAGGTTGACTCTCTAGCTCCTATGGCCATAGGTAAGAGGTTTGTGTTTTTCATGTTAATTAAATGGTTAGGATGTTTCAGCATTTCAGGCTGTTGCTAAAGAACTTTGTCATAAAATTCAGTTTTTTCTCTGAGAAGATCTGTAGTGAAGGTTATGCAGCCAGTTTCAAATGTCAGAAGTCAGGGGGCCTGCACTGGGGACTGGGATGCAGTAATAACCCAATCTCCAAGGATCTGGACCTGTCCTGTAGGAGCAGCCTTGGCTTTGGAGGTGCAAGAGTCACAGTGGATCCAAAGCAGGGACATGCACAGCAGAATCCTCTTTCCTGGGCCGTTGGGTTGGTCTGTTCCTAGCTGCTTGATCACCTTTTTGTTGTTGACGTGGCACCTCTTACAATTTCTTAGGCACAGAAAAAACTGTTTTTCCTCCCTTAGGAGACAAAGCTCAGATGAAATCAAAAGAACGATAAAGTTTGGAGGAAAAAAAAGAAGCTGCACTTGCTTTCCTGGTCTGCAGTTTGGCAGGGCATTAAGATGTCCGTGGACATGAACAGCCAGGGCTCTGACAGCAATGAAGAGGATTATGACCCTAATTGCGAGGAGGAGGAAGAGGATGAGGATCCTGGGGATATTGAGGATTATTATGATGGGGTAGCTAACGACGTGGAGCAGCAGGGAGCAGATGCCTTTGATCCAGAGGAATATCAGTTCACCTGCTTGACTTACAAGGAGTCGGAGAGCACTCTCAATGAACACATGGCCAGCTTGGCTGCCACGTTAAAGGTGAGGAAAGGTTTCTGCATTCACACAGGTGCAACACAAGTCTGTGGTTCAACAGGCAAACGCTGAGAATACAGTTCTGATGCAAGCTGTGGCAACATTGCTGTTGTGGGGGGTTGGAGGAGCATCATTGAAGGTCCCTTGTTCAAAACTGACTCAAAGGTTTGCAATTGTTACATACTGGGGCCTGAAAAATCTTCCTTACTGAATGTTGATTCTTTTTTTTTTACAGAGCTGAGCTTCATGACCAAAATGCCCGAGTTATAACTCTGCATTAACACAGTGCAAAGAGGGTATATAGAAAAGAAACAAATCAAACCATAAGTGGTGCAGTTTGGTACACCTGTGTTTGCAAAGATAACTGACAGATAGAAAGACATGCTAAAACTCTGTAATTCTAACAAAAACACTTTTCTTGGTTGGTTCTGAGAGAATAATCACGGACTTTCAAAGGCAGATCAGCTGTCATGCCAGTTATTAACCCTGCTGCTGCAGTGACAGCAATTCAAGTACAGTGAACTTGCCACCTCTTGGGGCAAGTGTGACTTAATTCATCCCAGAAAAATCACACTTAGCCAGCTCCATGGCAGTATGCTCAATAAGACTTTTGTGATGTCTTCTTTCTCTTTTTGTAACCAATACTGTAGTGTCAGTCAAAAGAGGAGGCAGGCCAGAGGAAAGCAGAGTTTTCTAAACTCTAGATGTGGACACAGGGTTGAAATTGCTGCTGCATCCACTCTGTAACAAACCAGGTCTTCTAGTGCTTGCTCTTGTCTGGAACAGCCCCTGAAAACAGGACAGGTGATGGCTGCAGCATGTGAAAAAATGTGTTGGGTAGGTTTTGAATCAAAGCTAATTTTAAAAATTAATCAAATCTAATTTTAAAAATGAGGGATCTCTTGATCTTTATTTGCACGTCAACGTCCTGTAGAAAAAGTACAACCATAAAGCCTGAGGACTGTGAACCATAAACAACAGGTTTTAAAAGGCACCCATAATTTGGTGATTTTGCCATCTGTTGTGCTGGTTTCAACCATTTACCACCTCAGAAAATGAAATTGTACTTTTTCTTGCTCTTAAACTTGTCTCTGTAATTACTTCAAAATGTGTATTCTGAACTCTGAATGCCTGCAGTTCTCTACAGATTGTCAGAAACTGGAGGCAACAGGAAAGTACAAATGAGAAAAGTTGGTCAGCACTTCTGATCCAGCTGCCAGTTGCTTTTGGTTCTTAGCAATTAAGGTATAGAACAGCTTTTCTGTGCCTTATTTTCTGCCTTCAAATGGAACACCCTCCTAAAAGGTGACCCCTGCCATATTGTTCTCTTGAATTAAATTGCAGAAAGCAATACTTTTAGTCCTTAATATCAGGCTTCCAGTGTTAAAATAAAATTTTCAGGAGTTTTGAAGGTCTCATTGAGCATATGTTGTAGTTGCCCAGATTATACCAACCTGCTAGCTCAAATCTCATCCCACATAGTACCCAAGGAGAGAAAATCTAGATTTTTTTTTTATATATCAAAAATATGCCTGCATATTTACTGCTAAAATTAAGTGCTACATGCTTTGGTTTGTGCATAAGAAGATGAAATTGAATTTGGGTAGCAGTTTGGAATTATGTGATCTTGTAAGCCACACACTCAGGCTGTGAAGTGTGGTTTGAAGTGCCACATTAACTCTCTTTTCTCCACAACAATAGTCCCACAGTTGCACTTTTATTGGATATCTCTTGTGTATCTGCAGGATTTGCTTTTTGCTTCCTGGCATGCTTGCTTACAATTCTTCAACAACTCTGTCTTCCTTCCCCTCTCTCCCCCTCCAAGGAAACTTGTGATTTCAGAGGAGAAAAATAGTTCAGCATGCTCCATTCCATTTCTGTCATAATTATTTTCAGTGGACTTAATGGATATGAGTAAACAGGGGTAGACTTTTTAAAGAATTGTATTAACTTATTCTTTATTAATTTGCTTGAGCTGTAAAAACTGCTTTTTCTTTTTAAAACTGCCTTTCACAATGTCTCAGGTTTCCTTGGGTAGTGATGATTGTTCTTCTGGAGCATCTAGTTAATTTTGATTTCATCTCCTTTACTCCTTTATGATAGGTACTGATTACCTGGTGCTTTTTCAGCATTAGCCTGTATTTAAGGTGGAGTGGTTGCCCCAACAGGGAAGGCTGAAGGTAAATTAAAGATTATCTTCAGGAGGTACAGTGTTGAAGCCAATGGATGACTTGGTGTTAGAGTGATTTACTGTCACAGATTAATAGATTAACACAATTCCCTAAAGCAAGTATAAAATAAATGCAATGAATGGGCTTAAAACTGGGTTGGAATGTTCTACCACTGTCTGTTCTCATGAGGTGATTCACTTTCTGAAGGTTAAACTCCAGGACACATGCATGTGTATTGAGTGGCTTTTTTCTTTGTGCCATATTGTCTACACACTTTAAAGACCAGAAACAGAACTTCAGGGCTTTACATCTTCATATTTGCTCTCTGTGCTGTTAGTGGCTAATAACAGTTTAAATAGATAGTATTTAATTTCCTCTGCTCATTAACCTCAACATTTATTTTTCAAACTGTTTTGCTCAACTATTTCAGAGTGATTGTGAAATTCCTATTTTATTTTAAAGCATTGTAGTGAAGGGTGGTCTTTGGAAACCTTGTTGGCTCTTTGAATTCCCCATGAGTTATAGCTGACCTCGTTCTCATTCTTGCTGAAGGCACTGAACTGAGCAGACCTTGCACTGGCTGGTTAATGTCAGGTCAGGTGTGAACACCCTGCACATTTAAAAGTTTTCATGCAACATTGAAAGAGAAACTCTCTTAAACAAAATGCTTGTGTTTTGTTTACCTCAATTAGAAACAACACTCAGTTAAAATCTGGAGTCAGATAAAAGCATATCACCCTGCATGTAGGTAAATGTATGTCCTTGTATCTCTTACTGTTGTAGGAAGCTTTTGCCTCAAAATCTTTAGACTTGCTTTTTGTCAGGTGGGGAAATCTGAATAGAAGCCTTGGTGCAAACAAGGCAGCAGGGGAATAAACGAGCTGTGCTGTGTGACAGGCCTGCAGCTACATTAGTGGTTATTCCAGAATCATACAGAAGCTGGAGAGATTTAATAAGTATTACTGTGAAAGTTTCTCCTTAATTTTGGTTTTAGTAAGAACTGTGAGTTCATGGGTTTTCAAGGAAAAGAAGAGGAAATCTTTGCTCCTTGGTTGGTGCTGTTACTATGAAGATCTGAGGAAGGTTCTGTTAATACCCTGACTAAAATTAGGACAGGCTATCTCTGTTGAAACACACCAGAAGAAAATCTCAAATGAATACCCAAAACTGTGCTTCTCTGACCAAAAGACCTGTGAATTGAAGCAGGTCACTTTTAATTCCTCAAAAGGTCACTTGCCCACAGTCAACACTTGCAAAGGACAATGCTCTCAAAAGCAGAGCGGCCTGTATTGCCTGCAGACCAGCAGATGAATTCACAACAGCTCTTTCTAAGAAAGAAATATAATTATAGGATACAGTATCTTTCAGAAATAATGAATTAAAATGGTGTAGTAGTAACTATGCTTTTGAGATAACTCTGTCAGTTGTCATTGACTGATTGTGAGTCCTGGAGTGGCTTATCAGTGCATGCAAACAGTGTGATACTGAGCAGTTGTACAAACAAAGCTGAGCCTGTCACTGGCAAGCAGTAAAGTGTATGATGATGTCATATTGGTTTTGTTTGTAAATAATGGTTCTTGGCTCTGCTGAGGGTCTCCATACGTGCCTGGAGTTATCTGTAATGTTTCAAAAAACTAGCAATGGTGTCTCTGTTTCAGTGATGAGGTGGATTTTTCTAGTGTTATTTTTTTAATAAACCACTAGATAAAACAATTGCAATTAGAATTTATGAAAAAAAATTTACTTTGACTTTAGTTGTTGGCTGTCAGGCATGAGGAAGCTGTGATCTTTCTGCATATGCAAGCTAGCAAGGGAAGGAAGTCAGGTAGTTCTACAGGCAATTGGAACTCATGTCTTTCCACTAAAACCAAAGGAATTGTTAGACTGAAGAACTTATACTTTTCACTTCACTAATTTGAGTAATCTGCTAATATTTCTCAGAGAGCAAAAAGCTTATTTCCTGTGCTTCCTGAAATTACAGGTTGTGATGAGGGGTTTTTTTAGCTCTGTCCCTTGAAGAGTAAATGTTGGTAGATGCGAAAAGTATTTGATATCATGATATAATGCTGTTAATCTATGTTATCTCCACTGATCTTTCAGACATAAGCCAGTTTTTCATATATTCTAGCTCACCATACTGATGTTGCATCTTTTCATAGAACCAGACTCGTTTTTACTTATGAAAACCCAGCCCTCTGAGAATGCTCCACACACTCCAATCATGCTGACACAGAGCAGTTTGTAGAGCTGCTTGCTGAGAGCTGGCAGTGCTCCTTTGGAAATACCATCTCCAGCAGAGCCAGGGTCATGTGTGTGCACTGCAGCCCTCCCTGAAGGAGCCTGGTCTGCAGTCACAAAAGGTCTGTCAAGAGCCATGTCTCAGGACCCTGGTGTGTGTGTGCCCTGCTGTGCTGCTGCTCAAACCATGGCCCAGAGTGTGCTGTGGGTGCTGCTTATCTGAACCAACCTGCAGTGCCATCCTTTCAATGCCATCATGGCTTCATGGAACTTTCTGCAATGTAAAATGTCACTTTTGAAGCCTCACTGGGTACTTCAGGTGCAGGAGAGGAATTAAAGCCCCTTGAAGTATTAAAATGCAGGTACATAAAAGCAGTGTTTCAAAAATTTGTGTTCAAAGTTTAAGTCTGTAAGCACCAACATTAGTAAGCATTAGTAAGCAGTAAATATTTAAATATAATTTTTTTCATAAATGGCAGAACCTGATAGGCAAATTTGACTTTTTCACAGAACCCCTGTGGTGCTGTTTGGTAAAGATAACACACTGTTTCAAAGTACCAATAAACCCCCAGATCAGTCAGGTTTATATCTATACTG